GCTCTCGTACGGGATGTCAACTGACAATTTCAAATGGTCAAGGTGGGTCGCCCCACTTGGTCCACGTTTAGCTTGGATGGAACTTTGGCCAGTGGCCCGTGGAGTACGGAATAGCCCGATCTTATAAGCCTTTTCCTCTTTAGCCTAAGGACCTTGGCTAGCTCCCTGAATTTGGCAGCCCGTCTCCAAAGTGGACCGTCGGATGGGGGGTTGCTTGTGAGGCTTTGATGAAAAGCCTGAGGAGCGACACCGGGGTTGGCTTGCTTGTTGGGCTATCCTGGTAAGTCAAGTCTCTGCCCACTACTTTAGCCTGCTTAAGTCTGGAGTTGGCTCGAAAACTAGAGGGCAGCAGACCTGGCCAGAATACTTTGGGTCCTCCATGTCATAAACGAGCCCCCCAATCATGAGGCTCAGACACCCAACAACTTCCCCAATTTTGTGCAGTGATGGTGTTCGACCTTCAGGCTCTGCATGATGTTCTTTCTCCTTATCAACAATATCCAACCTCAATATCGTAAACCCCATACTGCCTTGCCTCTAATAGATACTGAGACAGACACCCCTGCACAATACTCGCACGTCACCTTCACCATGTCAGCAAATTAATAGAACACTAGTAATAGTAGCACTGCAGCAGGGGTAAGGGAACGGTCTAGGGGAAGGAATAGCCATGTGGTTGGCGGTCTTAGCTTGCCAACCTCTTGATGGTGCCATCTGTTTGGGCAGTATAGTAGGGAGTAGTATAGGTGGGAAACAAGTAAGTAGCTACAACACATCTCCTACACTACACCACACCGGACCACAACGGCCATCATCCGAACCCATCAGCTTTCCATAATGCAATGTATGACTCGTATCTTCATAGCTGACGGGATCGACTGGGATCGAATCCTGAGCCATGTGCACAGGGTATTGTTGCCCAGGAGTGGGGTACCCCTTTCTTTCCCCCCTCTTTTCTCCATATCCGTCTCCGTGATCCCGTCCGTCTCCTTTCTCCTTCGCACGAGTATGAAGAGTCCGGTTCCGCTAATTAATTTGTTTTTCTCGTGAGTGAGCGAGGGAGTGTGCCTCTGGCAGAGTTACCCGGAGAAGCCTAACTTTCCCTTTTCTAATTTTCTCGTACCGGCCGGGACTGGAGATCGGGAAAACCATGGCTCAGCTTATGCAAGTGGAGTCTGGTAGTAGAAAAACCAACAACAAACGGAGCCGTTGTAGTATGAGTATTCGCTTGATCAGTCAGTTAGTACATGAATTGACGAACAGGGTAAATTAGATGTTTTCTTTTCTTTTCTTTTTTTGTCCTATTTTCCTGCCGAGAAAATTCGACGATACAGGAAAGGTTCTTCTTCAACTCCAATCTGCAGTGTGCCTCAGCCGCAACACCACCAGGACTTGCTAGTCAAGTAGTCGCTTGAAGGGGAAAGGGATGTTGGCCTCATGGCGGCTGTCATTTGCCCGTTCGCCCAACGGGCCCCATAGTAACGATGGATTTAACCAAGCCTAAAGAGGGAAACCCATCGTTCCTGCCAAGTGAGTATGACAAAAACGCCCTGCCGCTTTTTCTCTCTTTCTTTTCTTCCTATTTGGTCTTGTCTGACTGTTTATTTTATTTTATCTTATTTTCTTTCCCTACCGGATCAATAAAATTGAACTGAAAAATCCTGATCGGGAAAGAGATGACAGGAATGGATCCATTTTACTTTCTGATTCCCACTTTTTGTAAAGACACACTGGCAGCGTCGGTTAGCCTCGCTGGGGAGAGCGGATTCACGGTTCCGTCTCCATCTGACCTGGTGGAAGTCAAAGTAGTAGTCTAAGTCTAACATAGCCATGGTAGCAGGGCTAGTCCTGAGTGGTTGCTTGCTGTGATCACCCTACAAACTGATCATCAAACTGCAGTGCACTGGCTCTCTCGCTTACCTGCCTTAGGTACATTTTTTTTTTTTTCTTTCCCTCCCTTGGTGCAGAACTTGAAGGAGATTGGACGATAATCGCATTGTCGTATTTATTTTTATCTCTGATTACTCTTATTATTATTATTATTGTTGTTATTATTATTATCTGCACGATTTCGATTTACTCTAATGAATTTTTTCATATTACCATAATATTACATTTAATTTTCCAATTTATTCTATTTACTATTTTGTTACTATGCTTCCAAATCATTTCCCACCTTCGCTTTCCCCGGCGATCGCTCGGGAAGGACAAAAAAATACCAAGTTAAGTAATTAAGTAGTAGTTAGTGGTTCAACCCAGGTCTAGCCTCATCCAGTGGTGCTTCTATATCACTTTTGCTTTGCTCCCTCTAGACTATCCACCCTGACAGCCTCTCCGCCACCATTCCGCCCGTTTCAGATCGTCACTTTACTTCTTCTTTTATTTTTCTTTCCCCATCTTAATCTCACTGCCCCAATCCGGCCTGCAGATGCGAGGCATTTTCCCTGCCTCCTCCGTTCTGATCTCACCCTGGTCTGTTCCCCAATTCTGTTAGTATAGCTGCATCACAGCCCACCTCCCACTCTAACCCCCAATCTCCACACTTACCACATGTCTATCCCGTTCCTGACAAGTTCTGGGTCTGTTACAGAATGATCAGGGGATAGCCTCCTTCAGGAACCAAATCCTATATCAATCGCTCACTCGCCAATCTGAATCCTGTCTATCTTCACTCCATCACAACCAACTCTATAAGATCAAAGCCTCTTCCTGCCTCTTCATCCTTCAAACTCCAACAACTCAAACCTCAAACAACTACAACTACTCTCAATCCTACTCCTGCTACAACAACATCCGATACCTTCTAGAACACCTTCAGATACACCAAGCAGGCAGACAAACTTGAACAATGCGTCGAAGCACTACTCAGTCGGAGATCCCTCTTCCTATCACCTACACTCCAACTACGCATCGCATCAGCAAAGCGAAGAAGGGAAAGCGTGTGCATGCTTGCGAATACCCAGGCTGCAACAAGGTTGGTACCACGAGGATGCTGTCGCACAGACCTGGAACCAAGCTGACCCTTCAATTCAGGTCTTCACCAGAGCCGAGCACCGAAGGTAAGCCGTTGCACTTGTGTCGCAATAATCTTGCCTTATTGGTATGCTAACCAAATCTTGCAGACGCCATGAGCTGAACCACAACCCTGAAGCCCTATTCCGCTGTACCCACAGCCACTGCAAAAAGGCATTCCACCGCCCTGACCTTCTCGCCCGCCACATGGAAAGACAGTAAGTACTTCCTGCCATAAAGGCTTGCTTGTCACCTTTACTGACGATTACCTCCAGCGAATTGGAAGCACAGATGGACAGGACTGCCCAATGGCACCAGCAGAGCCGAACTCCCCTCATCTCTGAGCCTTATGTCCCTGCCACCACGTCTATGCCCTCAACTCAAACACCGTACTTGGCCGTTACCCAACCGCACAATGCCATGTCGGTTGGTGCCCTCGTGGCGCCTGCCATCCACCCAGACCTCTCCAATGACTGCGGCTTGATGTGGAATAGTGTCGAAATTACATCTGGACACCAGACTCCTTTGTACCAAGGCCCCCATCAGATTCACGAGTCCGTAGAAGACAGTCGGTACTACGCTACCCCGGAAACGTGCCCGTCTCCTCTCTCGGATGGCACTTCCCTTTCAGTGCACTCTCACTCCCGTTCGTCTGTCGTCTCCACACCGGTTACGGTCGCTGAACCGTATCCCGAGAGCCTCATGGAACCCGACCTGACTTCCTCGCCAATGTCCATGCAGTCGAATATGCGCTGCTGGGAACAGCCAGACACCAGCCTTCCGTCCCTAAGCATGATGCCCCTTCCTCTCACCGAAAGCCTCCTTCATCCGGTATGTCAATCAGAGAGACATCCACCATAATATGTTCGCTAATTCCTTATTGCAGTCTATCCACTGCCATTATCCATCGCCCAGCTGGTCAGCGAGCCCAAGCCTGACCTACGAGGAACATGTCCTCCCCCCCGCCTCATACCCACCCGCAATGAACTGGAAGTCATGGGCGATATGAGCAACAACAAAGCCAACAGGCGGTGATGATTTTCATCTATTCACCACCGACGACAGGCCGGTGCCTAATTAGGGCTTATGAGCCACGTTCCAATACGACTGATACGCTAATACTCGCCCCCCTTTGGACGACACGCAGTGATATGTATGCATATCTCTGGTACTTCTAATTTGTGCGGACCGAGAATAATGCGACTGCACGAGAAGAAGAGAACCACGCAGCATCACCGTCAAGCCGGTCTCGCACCGTTCAAATGAACCATAATACGACATTAATGCCGCCACGCATTGACGTTGGCATTACCAGGCCCATGAGGCCATGGGAACGAGCCACCAAAGAAACTGGTGGCCTCATCCCATTATTGATCTGTTTATCCATCCTTGTTATCATTTCCTTTGTCTATCTGCACATATTTCCTTTGTTCTGGAGAAAAAAGCCCTGGTTTGCAATTTGGCTACCCGGCTACTGGATGGCGTCCATTTGGGATCTTCATGATTGATTATATACCCATGCTGTGTGGCTTTCTTATTTCGCAACGTGCACTGATTGTCCATATGTCATGTTATACTTATTGAGTTATGCTAGCTTGATGGTTTCTTCTTTTGTTGTGCCTTGATGTTTTATCTGAGCCAATGATGTTTTCTTTATATTTTGTTTGTTCTTTCCTATGCAACCTTGTCCAATGTTTTGCTCTTTTCCTTATAGAAACGTGTTTGTATACTAGTATAGACTTCACTTCTTGCTGCAAGACCTATCTATTTTACACCTTACTTCCGATAATCTTTCTCATAATTCTCCTGATTATCCATCTGTTAGTTCGTCTGATATTGTTCCGAATGATTTATTCTGGTTAGGTAACTTGGTTTGAAGAACTGGGGTTTGGTTTCAGAAGACTCTGAATTGTTTTGAATTGTTGGCAAGCCTTTCACTGTGTAGTACATGAGATTCTTGACAATGACACTGGCAAAGATACTCTGCTCAGAATAATCTGGGAGATGCTGATATTCATGATTCTAGGAAATATCCACTGTTGACTGCTGCTAGACATAATGATCAAGCCATCAAATTACCTGCTGTTATCTCGCTAGATGAGACTGAATCTCAGCCAGAAAACTTTGAAATATCCAGGATACCAAGTCGCGTTCACATCCTGTCTTCGCCTACCAGGCAAGTTCGCTACATAAGCCCTTGGCAATTACTTCATCTATCTAACGTTCGTAAAGTCATTTAACACCCCACAGCTCATCCCTGGCCGGAATGACTCTCCAACACCATCCGCACCAGCTTCTATGCTGTCCCCGCTCCTCTCTAGTAAGATACTCGCCTGTTTCACGCTCATCTTCATGCTCTACTACGCAAGCACCCACCGTGACTCGTTTTTTCGCCTTGTGTTTGACGCGGCCTCCGATGCCGATAATCTCCTGTCGAAAGTAGCCCGGTTCTTCTTCCTCACGATGCTCCCAGCCGTCATGGGCGTGATTGTGGTGTCGTGGAGGACTCTGGCTGTGGCGATGTTCATAGTAGCGACCATAGTCAGGGGGGCTCCCTGAGGCTTCGTCCGCTTCGCATTCTACTTCTAGCTCAATTTCTTGGGCTGCAAGGCAATCCTCTCCTCTACCGCACTTGACGCCTTGGCAGCCTTCTCCAATCCCAGTGCCGAGGCCACCAAGATAGGTACTATAACGAGTGCGCCATGTCCATACCCGTCGGTAGGTGGTATCGCTGCTGCGTACTTGGTGTCCGCATTGATGACAAAGCCATATAGCATCATCGCAGGAGCAAGGCGTACGTTGGAATGCCGAGATTATGGACTGAGGAGGGTGTGAAGGCGCATGTGTGTAGATTTTCTGTGGATGAGCATGTTCGTAGGGTTGCTCGATAAGCTCATTCAGAGGGGCCGTACGACAAGTGGTGCAGAGACGACGAATGCGGTGTTTGAGCATGTGGCTGGATGGAGGCTTGATAACGCAATTCTACATGGTACAAGTATCAGTATTGGAATGGGACGACACAGAGCTTGGTGGAGCAGACTCACCCGGCACACAACCTTGGAACATCGACGGCATTCGGCCACCATATCTCGGGCGCATTTAGAGATTTTGCCACTGGTCAGGCGTCCGGAACTTCTGGCATTCTGGCTGAGCAAACGCATAACCGACTTGACGCTGTCGGGAATGCAAGCTCCGCTGTTCAACATGTCCGATAGTGTTTCGATATACTCATTCTCACAACGCAAGGTCTGCTTAACCAGCTGCGGGCGATAGGGAGACAGGTTGGCGTGGAATTGACGACATGTTCGTGAAAGGGCGTGTAGAGTATTCAGATCCACCGAGCGAGCAATTGCTTTGATAATCCTGTATCCGCAGTCAGCACACCATACCGAACCAGACACTGGAGCGGCCTGGTTCAAAGTGTCTCATACGGATAGCAGCTCAGAGCAGCTGAGAAAGCATTCCGATTTGGATTTTGTTGTGGCGCTTTAGAGATGGGAGAAATGCTGTGTAACGGGTCTGCGGAGCGATCACTGTCCGCGGATACATCCGCTGCACGATGCGGCTCGTCCGGTTTGACAGGTAATAGTTCGGATAACCCAGGCTTTTTGGGTTCTATGTAGGGATGTAGGAAGGGATTGGAGGGACCCGAGATATGATGCGGGCTAAGCGCATCGTCGTCGAAGTCTATGAAAACCACCATCCTGTTCGAGGGAAGTATTTATGGCACAGGCGGAGGGGAAAGAGATGCACAGGTTCCGAAGAGGCTTGCTAACCGGCAGCAAACTGAATGAACGAGCAACAAGTATTGAGCACTAGAAGTAAGACAGGCAAGCCAGATCAGTCTAGTTGGGCCATTATAAGTATATCAAACGTCCAAAGAAGCACTAGAAGCCTGTTGAAGGCTACAGTGGGATGATACGGCAGGGAAACATCCAGCTCCGCTCCGTATTCGGCGCGGGTCCTGAAGATCAACAGCAGTGGTTCGTCTCGGCGATCGAGAACCCGTGGGCGATTTGGCTGGGTCAGATGGGGAATCCCAACGTGGAACCGAAGCCTTCAGGGCGGTCCTTATTATATTCGAGGCAGACGAGTCATATCCAACACGCCTCGTGGAAGAGATAGATCGGGAACGATGTTGGTTGCATCGATTTCTCCCAACGTCATGCCTTGTTGGGGTCACGCGTCGGCCGCCAGTCAGGTGTTACGCCTTTCCTCTTCGGGAAGGTGCATCTCTCTCTCTCTCTTCTCCGCTCCTCCGCATTTGCTCGGCTTCTCGCTTCTTCCACTTTCTATTGCAATATTAGTCTCAATGAAGAGAATGAAGGTGGCACCATTATAGTCAGAACTCTGTAATACATCTTCTATGTTTTATCAACTCAATTGGCCGTGGATGGTACCTCTACGCCTAAGGATGGACTCGAGCATCTCCCTCCACGGCGGCCAAAAGGAGGGGCGAGACTCATCTTACCCCACCAGGCAGTTGGAGTCATTCTTTCTATCTTATCGGGGAAGTCGGGGCATTTTCCGAGGATAACTGATCGCCTCTATCGTATCCCTTAGCCGAATCCTTAGGACAAATATACTTCTTGTCTCGTGTTTCTTCCTCCTTCTCTACTACTTGACTTTCTGCTCAACCTTCCTTCGCGAGATCCCTCCCGCATCGCAGACACACCCCCGTCACGTCATCAAGATGCCATTGAACTCCAAAGCTGTCTATTCTCGGCTCAACCCCGATTTTGTCCCTTTCGCGAGCCGGAGAAGTACTGTGCATAGCACAAAAGGAATTGTAACGTGTACTCAGCCATTGGCAGCCGCCGCAGGCCACAGAATCCTGAGTGAAGGAGGCAATGCCGCCGTACGTTCTTGAGGAACCCCCGCCATCTTCTGAGATTTAAATGCTGACTTTGGTAAAAGGATGCTGCTGTAGCTGTCGGTCAGTAGAATAAGTGACTTTTGAGGGAAGATGAAACTAAGAGAAATGTGTCTACTAGCTGCGGCATTGAATATCACAGAGCCCTCATCCACAGGCATCGGTGGAGACATGTTCTGCCTCTTTTATGATGCCAAAACGAAGAAAGTCCATTCACTGAACGGCTCTGGTCGCTATCCTGCCAATGCGACCCTCGAAAAGGTCAGGAAGGATCTGAACCTTGGCCCAGATGAGTCTGGAAAAATACCCATGACCAGCGTCCTCGCTGTGTCTACTCCCGGTGCAGCGGCAGGGTGGGTTGATACTGTGGAAAAGTTTGGTAGTGGAAAACTCTCTCTGGAGCAGATCTTGCGTCCTGCTATCGAACTTGGTGAGGAAGGCTTTCCTGTCTCAGAGCTGGCATCTTTCTTTGTAAGCACACCGTTCTCTTCGTCCGACTTATACAACAAGCTGACTCTCTGCAGTGGCACGAAAGCGAGCATCTGATTCGCGCAGCATCGCCAAACTACCACGAGATGCTCAAGTCTGACCCGAACGCTGAAAACGGTGTTCGGAGCCCTCTCCCCGGAGAAATCCTGAGAAACCCCACACTGGCCCAGACATTCCGAACGCTTGCCGCGGAGGGAAAGAAGGGCTTCTACGAAGGACGTGTTGCAGAAGAACTTGTCAAAGTCGTCCAGGACCTGGGAGGCTATATCACCCTGGAAGACCTGAAATTCCACGCCGAAACCGGAAGCCAGGAAACAGAAGCCATCTCCCTCAAATTCACCGGTCAGGATATCGTCGAGAAGCAGGCCGCCGGTACAACCGGCGAGGCTAACCAGGGAGTGGAGATATGGGAGCATCCACCAAACGGACAGGGTATCGTGGCTCTCATGGCCTTGGGTATCCTCGAGGAACTAGAGCGCACAGGAAAGATCCCAAAGTTCACTGAGGCACAGCACAACTCCGCCGAATATCTACACGCAATCATTGAAAGCCTTCGCATTGCATTTGCCGATGCGTCCTGGTGGGTCACCGATCCCGATGTGGAAAAGGTTCCAAGCAAGGAACTTATATCCCGCGAATATCTCGCGGAACGTGCCAAACTCTTCAACCCTGATAAGGCGTCCGATATCCTTGACCATGGCAGTCCAGCCCACAACCACTGTGATACAGTATACTTTGCAGTGACAGACAAAGAAGGAAACGGTATCTCCTTCATCAACAGCAACTATGGTGGATTCGGAACATGTATCATACCCAAGGGATGTGGATTCACCCTCCAAAACCGGGGTGCCAACTTTTCGCTGACCCCAGGGCATCCGAACGCACTGGCTCCGCGCAAGCGACCTTACCACACCATTATCCCAGCATTAATCACCAACGTCTCCGATGGATCTCTCCACTCGGTATATGGTGTGATGGGTGGCTTTATGCAGCCTCAAGGTCACGTCCAGGTCCTCCTCAATATGCTTGCGTTCAATTATCACCCTCAAGCTGCACTAGATTCACCTAGAATCTGTATCTCTGCTGGGAACGCCGATGAGGGAAAGCCCATCGACAGAACAGTCTATGTGGAGGAAGGCGTCAGCGATGCTGCGGTTGAGGGCCTGAAGAAGCTGGGCCATCAGGTCGAGGTTCTGACTGGATGGAAGAGGGGCATGTTCGGCCGTGGACAGATCATTCGTTGTCACTATGATGATGGGAAGCTGGTGTACAGTGCTGGAAGCGACTTGAGAGGTGATGGAATGGCGATTCCAGCCTTGTGAAGCCTTACTCCGGTAGTTCAGAACCTCCTTGTTACGAGCTGAGACGATACGTATCCTAGAATGTGCTAATGCAGCCTAAATAAATTTGATTTAGAGATATTCCACAGCGCGCTTAGAATCCCATAAGATGAGAGGAACAAGAGTAGAAAAAAAGAACCCCCCGCTAATTACCATACGCTCCATCGCAGAAATAGCACTTTTCAAAGGAGAAGAGAAGAGAAGAAAACATTAGACGTAAAATATAAGTCCACATAGAGAAAAGATAGTCATATTTATCATCGCATTCATCAATTGCATGCAACATACATCAAACGTAAGATACATGAGAATAGAACCGAAATAGGCTAAAATGCTTTCATAAAAAGGTCACAAGCACCCCGAACCATATGCTATTCCCGCTGATGCATGCATGCTGTGAATCTGCTGCGCAAAAGAAACTGCAAGTCAAAATGGACAAAAGAAAACAAAGAATAAATATATACATCGAGCTGACAGAGAGGAAGGTAGAAAGCGAAGAATGAGTGTTCGTTTCCCAAGCAAGTCTATTATCAGTGAGCAGCAATCGCACCCAAGAGAGTCTTCAGCTTGGATGGTCCACTGGGTGGAGGAGACGGCTCGCGTCGATGTCTGTGATGACGATGGCGATGTTCTCCGCTACTACGGTGAGGACGACGTTGCTCGGGTTCCTCCCCTGCCCTTGCTTCCTGCTCCATCTCCATCCTCTTGCGCTCTCTGCGAGCTTCACGCCAAGCTCGAGCTTCTTCGTCGTCCTCGGGACGTGGTCGACTTGAGCGCTCACTGCTGCTCTTGCCTTCTTGCGACTGACGTTGACTCTGGTGGGAGGATGACCTTCTCTCACGATCTTTGTAGACGTTAGCGGAGGCCTTGGCAGCGTTGATCTTCAGAAGTGGGCCATTGGTGTCTGACTGACCCTCCATATACTTCAAGAAGAAGCGAGGCTTGGGTTCTGTAGATTGGGTGTGGCGCGACGACGAGCTGCTCTTGCGCTCGCGGTCCTGACTTCCAGAGTGATCTGACCGTGGGTGTGACCTGGTGGGTGCGCTCTCTTTACCGCTCAAAGAACGTTCGGATTGTTCCAAGTTCCTTGATCTTGCGCTTCGCTCAGAGCGCCTTGCGTGTTCTTGCTCCCGCTCCCGTTCAAGTTGTTCACGTTGTTCGCGCTCGCGTTCGCGTTCTCGGTGTCTGCGCTCACGCTCTTGTTGTTTGCGCTCTTGGTCTTGTTGCAGACGCTCTTGTTCTTGTTGTCTGCGCGCGCGTTCTTGCCGTCTTTGCTCGCGCTCGCGCTCACGCTCGAGCTCACGTTGGCGTTCGTACTCTCGTTCCCGTTCCCGTTTCCGCTCGTCGCGATCCCGGTCACGCTCCCGCTGCCTGTCCTTTTCCCTCTCACTTCCACGGTCCGAAGAGCGACGCTCTTTCTCGATGACCTGAATCTTTTGCTTCTGCTTCTCTTCGTGCATCTTCTTGGAGTCCTGTAAAGCTTGCGCCCATCGACCCATGATACTAATACGCTCACCCTTTCGCCTTTGTGAGCGATGACCATCAGACGAGCTCCTAGACTCCTTCCGATCATAGTCAGCGTCGGGTGATCTTCTGTGCTTCCTTTGTGAATCTTTACGGTGGACTGCTGCGGTGACGGCGGCGGCGGCTGTGGCCCCGGCTATGGCTCCGCCTAGAATTTCACCCCTTGAAGAACCGTTAGCCTCGGTTTCTTCTGACGGCTCTGAGCTCGGATCTGCTTCATATCCTTCGCTTTCGCCCTGTTCTTCCGGCGGGGGTGCTGCGACTTCTGATGCCTCGATAGGAACGGCTCTCTCAGCAGGAGCTGTATCTTCTGCCGGTCCTGGTCCATTGACTGAACCGGGTTCGTCAGCAGGTGCAGGATCTTCTGCGGGTACTTCAACAGGAGCGGGGTCTTCAGCGGCAGGCTGCTCTTGAGCAGGAGCGGGCTCTGACCTGGCAGCAGGCTCTTCAGCCGGGGCGGCGACTGCCACATCAGCC